GATTTCCTGAGGCTGTTGGAGCAGTGGGAATCAGTGACATTAGCAGTGAAGACATAAAACAACAAGGAAAAGGTAAGAGTTCAGTTGTGGCTGCAGGAAACAATGTGTTCTGGCCTGTCTCGTCTGGAATCTATGACATTCAGACAACATTCCGCTTTTCCCATTAAAGAATGTGAAACCTTTACTGATAACAAGGATACATATCTGCATTGTTACAGAGATAGTAGGAACTGCCGATGCTGGAGAATCTGAGATAACAAGGTGTAGAGCTGGATGAACACAGCAGGCCAAACAGCATCAGAGGAGCAGGACCCTTCTCCAGAAATGGGGGAGGGGAAGGGGGATCTGAAATAAATAGGGAGAGAGGGGGAGACGGATAGAAGATGGATAGAGGAGAAGATAGGTGGAGAGGAGACAGACCGGTCAAAGAGGTGGGGATGGAGCCAGTAAAGGTGAGTGTAGGTGGGGAGTTAGGGAGGGGATAGGTCAGTCCAGGGAGGACAGACAGGTCAAGGAGGTGGGATGAGGCTGGTAGGTAGGAGATGGGGGTGGGGCTTGAGGTGGGAGGAGTGGATAGGTGGGAGGAAGGATGGACAAGTTAGGGAGGCAGGGACAAGCTGGGCTGGTTTTGGGATGCGGTCGGGGGAAGGGAGATTTTGAAGCTTCCGAAGTCCATATTGATACCATTGGGCTGCAGGGTTCCCAAGCAAACTATGAGGTGCTGTTCCACAAACGACTGCACCTCACAGTCGCGAACCACTTCAACTCCCCCTCCCACTCCTTGGACGACATGTCCATCCTGAGCCTCCTGCAGTGCCACAATGATGCCACCCGAAGTTTGCAGGAACAGCACCTCATATTTCACTCCCTAACCTGTCCAACCTTCCTCCCACCTATCCACAACCTCCCATCTCAAGCGCCACCCCTATCTCCTACCTACCAGCCTCATCCGACCTCCTTGACCTGTCCGTCCTCCCTGGACTGACCTATCCCCACCTACACTCACCTTTACTGGCTCCATCCCCGCCTCTTTGACCTATCTGTCTCTCTCCACCTATCTTCTCCTTTATCCATCTTCTATCTGCCTCTCCCCGCTCCCTATTTATTTCAGAATCCCCTTCCCCTCCCCCATTTCTGTGGAAGAGTCCAGACCTGAAATGTCAGCTTTCCTGCTCCTCTGATGCTGCTTGACCTGCTGTGTTCATCCAGCTCTACACCTTGTTATCTCACATAAGATTTGATGTTTTACTGATCCTGCAGGTGACTGATAGGAGTTCTAAAGTCAAGCAATTGCAGATGCTGTTGGCCTGCTGCAATTGTTTCAAATTTACATCCTTCAATGAGGGTCAAAGGTATATTCTTTAGGTTTATCCAGAAGAGCTTTACTGAAATATTTAATAAGCATGGCAGTAATGACCAGTTTAATGAGCATTTCAGCTAAATTATCTTAAGTGAAATCACACTCTGTACCTCAGCTGTCACACCTATCTATGAATTGGCCAATTGTTTCACCAGGCTATTGGCATTTCAACAAGCCTATGTCCTGAAATTGGCTCAAGCTGTAAATTAATCTTCCAAAATCTGAAACATTTTCTCAGGATCTCTACAGTCATCAACAAAGTACTTAAAGGATTTTATTCTTCTTGTCCCTTCAGTGTCCAAATGTAGGAAAGGTTTGACCACCAGACACTGCCTTTGTCAGCTGTCTGTTGATCTATAAAGAAGAATTCTTTCAATCAGTAACTCAAGGTCTAACATAATGTTTAAAGTGTGCCAATCCATTGTTATCAATTTCTTTGTTCTTTGAAGCATTGGTGTTAGAAAAGACTCTGTGGGTTTTATGTGTTTGTTGGCTTTTCTGCTTTTTTTATTTTATTTTTCTGGCTCTTTGAGTTGTAGAATTGTAGTATCAAGCTATGCTTCTCGGTGATATTGTCATGCAGACATTTATTTAATCTTTTGGCCCGATTTAAAAAATGGAAGTAACAGAATGAACTAATGTTTTGAAATGTGCAAGCCTTATTAATTTAGAAAAGCCATATCTTAATGTTTTTAAGCAACATTATCCTCAAGGAGTCCCTCATAGGTGTCCTTTCACGACAATTTAAGGATGTAATTTTTTTATTATTTATTTATGAGATGAGGCTCATTGGTTGGCTCAGCACTTATTGACTGTCCCTACTTGCCCTTGTAAGGGTGGGGGGTGAGCTGCTTTCTTGAAATACTGCAGGCCATTTGCTATATGTAGATCCACAATAGTGTAATGGGGGGAGAGTTCCAGGATTTTAACCCAGCGACACTAAAGGAATGGTAATATATTTACAAGTCTGGATGATCAGTGGCTTGGAGAGAAAATTGCAAGTGGTGGTGTAACCATGTGTCTGCTGCCTTTGTCCTTCTAGATGGTTGTATTCATGGATTTGGCAGGTACTATCTAAGGATTGTTGGTGAATTTCTGCAATGCATCTTGTAGATTGTAGATGCTGTGACAACTGATTGTCAGTGGTAGTGGGAGTAGATGCTTCTGGGTTTGGTGCCAATCAAACAGACTTCTTTGTCCTGGACGGTGTCAAGCCTCTTGAGTGTCTTTGGAACCGCACTCAGCCTAACAAGTGGACAGTATTCCATCACACTGCTAACTTGTAGATGGGCCGTATAAGGGTTTGGGGAGTCAGGAAGTGAATTACTTGCTGCAGGATTCCTAGCCTCTGCCCTGCTCTTGTAGCCAATGTGTTTATATGGCTAGTCCAGTTCTGTTTTCCTAGTCAGTTATAACCTGCAGGATATTGATAGTGCTGATTCAGTGACTGTAATGCCATTGAAATGTCAAGGATTGACAGACCCTCTCTTGTTGAAGATGGTTATTGTCTGACATTTTGTGGCGTGAATGTTACTTGCCACTTTTCAGCCCTAACTAGCTAATGTCCAGGTGTCATTGTGTTTGGAAATGAACTGCTTCAGTAACTGCAGAGTTACAAATGGTGCTGAACATTCCCACTTCTGACCTTTTGATAGAGGGAAGGTCATTGATGAAGCAGCTGAAGATGGTTGGGCCTCGGACACTACCCTGAGGAACTCCTGCAGAGATGTCCTGGAGCTGAGATGACTGACCTCCAATAAATACAATTCTATGTGCCTTCCTACGTGCCAAGTATGACTCCAACCAGCAGAATGTTTGGTCCCTGATTCCCATTAATTCCATTTTGCTAGCATTCCTTGATGTCACATTTGAGTCAAATGCAGCTTTGATGTCGAGGATTGTCACTCCCAACTCACCTTTTCTGAAAAAGGGTCTAGGCCCGAAACATCAGCTTTCCTTTCCTGCTCCTCTGATGCTGCTTGGCCTGCTGTGTTCATCCAGCTCTACACCTTCACCTCTGGAATTCAGGTCTTTTGTCCATGTTTGAACCAAGGCTGTAATGAGGTCAAGAGCTGAGTGGCTCTTGCAGGATCCAAACTGGGCGTCACTGAGCAGGTTATTGCTAAGCAGGTGCTGCTTGAAATCACTGTGGATGACACCTTCCATCACTTTACTGATGGTTTGGGAGTAGATTGATGGAGCAATGATTGGCTTTATTGAATTTATCCTGTGTTTTATGTAAGTAATATACCTGGGTAATCTTCCACATTGGTAGGTAGATGCCAGTGTTGTAATTGTACTGTAAGAGCTTGGCTAGGGAGCGGCACAAGTCTTCAGTACTTGGCCAGAATGTTGTCAGGGTCCATAGCATTTTCAGTATCCAGTAGCTCTAACCATTTCTTGATATCATGTGGAGTGAATCAAAGTGGTTGAAGACTGGCATCTGTGATGCTGGGGATAATTGGAAGAGGCTGAGAGTTTGAAATTCTGATGCTGCAAATGCTTCAACCTTTTCTTTTGCACTGATGTGCTGGGCGTCCATATCATTGAGGTATGTTTGGAACCTTGCCTTCCAGTTAGTTGCTTAATTGTCCACAGGCATTCACAGCTGGATGTGGCAGGACTGCACAGCTGAGAACTAATCCATTGGCTTTTTGCACCATGATTATTGATAAATTCAAAATTATTAAGGTGTCCAATGGCAATTTGTAAGCACCAATGGCATGTTGTAAAACAGAACTGGCCAGCATTTGAACCCTAAGCACTCTTAGTGTGCATACATAGTAAATGAGTGATGAAATGATTGAAAGTCTAATATCACTATGCTTTGCGAACGGCTGCTTCATGGTTTTGCTGTTACATTGACCATAAGCTTCCATTGCATTGACTGACCATGCCAATGTGAAGACTGTGTCCATAACTGACAGTACAGCATATCACAACCAACCTCACCACAGTCAAAAACACATGCCTCCTCCCAAAAAACACAGACACACACAGATGCACACACACATGCACTCACACATGCACACACACACGCACACACACACACACATTCTCACACACACACACACGCACAAATGCACACATGCACGCACTCATGCACATACACACACTCACACACACACACACACATGCACTCACTCATTCACATACACACACACTCACACACACACACGCACACACTCACACACACACACACACAATCTCACACACACACACAGACACGCACGCATGCACTCATGCACACACACA